AGTACGAACCCTTCAACAAGTACGTACCACAGAAAGTTATTGTTCATATGAATGCAGAGCAAAGAACGGCATCTTTCTTACCTGGGTTGCCTGAAGCAAGTCAAACCTGTATTGACTGGGTGACGGACCAGGGAGAGTGGTAACTCTCCCTGCCAAACAGAATTGATCACCAGGTTCCTAGGGAAAAAGGAATTCATGAATAAAGGTGACTTTAACGCTATATCAAGATAAAGTATGATTGCCTATAGACATGTAGGCAGGCAGCAGTAGGTCGGTCGGTTTGTCGGTCAGTAGGTAACTGAGTAGGTAGATAGTAACTGTGTAGGTAGAGTGGATGGTTAGGTTGTCGGTCGGTCGGTTTGTTGGTCGGTAGGTAACTGGGTAGGTAGATAGTAACTGTGTAGGTAGAGTTGATGGTTAGGTTGTCGGTCGGTCGGTTGGTCGGTCAGTAGGTAACTGAGTAGGTAGATAGTAACTTTGTAGGTAGAGTGGATGGTTAGGTTGTCGATCGGTCGGTTGGTCGGTCGGTAGGTAACTGGGTAGGTAGATAGGTAACTGGGTAGGGGTTTAGGTCGTAGGTCGTAGGTCGGTAGTTAACTGGGTAGGTAGAATGGAGGAGGAAATAGATAGGCGTGGGTAGGAAGTAGGTACGTAGGTAAGCTGGGTGGGTGGGTGGTTGTGGGGTAGTAGGTAGGCTGGAAATACATAGACAGACAAGTGGAAAGGTTGGTAATAGGTTAATAGTGGGTGTGTGGGGAGGTAGATAGGTAGGTACCTATGATATAGTGGAGAGGGAAAAAGCAACCAAAAGGCTAGATTAAGTGACAACTTACGATTAAGAACTGGGACACGTAGTCGTCTAGAGAGTATTTGTGATAGACGATTGTAGTAGGAGCAGTAAACATCTCGACGTCATAAACCTGAAATCAAATTATGATCAAGTGAGGGTCGCGTATGTACAACGAGACATGACTGTGTAAACGTTAGGTAGGGATTGATTGCTAATTCTTCTTCAATCATCCACCCAACCATCAATTTTTAGTCCATTTGTTCATTCATTCCTCCGAACATTCATACAATTAATATACTGATAAATGCGTTTTGGCATCTTAAATATTATGCAAATCGTGTGTTTTATATACCTCCTCATCGACATCCTCAGAAGGTTGCAGGGTATCTTCGGATTCCTTTAAAGTATAAAAAAGAAGATGAAGGAAATAGCTTGTTCCACTAAAGAGCCATTTGGAATCTTCAAAATTTAATTTATTAATTAAATACTTATATGGCGTCTTTTTCGCATGCTGATAGTGAAAAAAGATAGGAAATCTTAATTGTCTTGTTAATTTTCAAAGTTATTTCGTTTTGTTGAATTATTAAAATTCATAAAATGTCAACTGACTGCAGCTCGTTCCAGGAGAACTTCTCTTCTCGCTTTTTTTCAAGATGGCGGCGCTCAAAGCGTTTCGGGCGCCGCCATCTTGAAATTGAAGCGAGAAGAAAAGGCCCTGGGAACGAGGTTGAACTGACTGATGAAGCGTCCCTCAAAACAACCCAAATATGCAGCATATTTCTATAAATCCAGAAAGGCTAATATGCACAGCAATACCTCGCCAGTGTCTTCTTCAAGTTTGGCTTCCTCTTCAAGCTTAGCTTCCTCTTTACCGTCAGTTGGTTTACGCATGCGCGTACGCACGTATTGGACAAGATAACGAATTAATAGGAATGGAAGAATGAAAAAGAAAAATAGGTTGAACAGGATTTCTTTTTTCTTGTTTCTGGGTTCAACGACCTCTTTCCTGTCGAATCAAAGAAAAAAGCAATGAAATGAATTATTGAATGAATGAATAAATGTATGAATGACTTGGTAGATGAGGTGAATAAATGGAAGGATGGATGGATAGAGAAGTGGATGGGTGAATGGAGCGGTGGATGGGTTGATGAATCCACGTACGAATGGACGGATGAAACTGTATAGATGGATGTATTAATTGGATGGATAAATTGATAATATTGGATGGATAGATGAGTCGTGTGAATCAGATGGATGGATGGATGAGTGGATAGATCGGAATTAATAAATTAAGGGAGGTAACTTGCGCGCGCAATGTACTCAACTAGTCTACTCACGTGTGTGGGTCAATTCCATCTCCATTTTCGTTATATTCCACAACGACAATCTGTCCAGCGGCGTTGCGCTTCTTCCTTCTACCCATAGCCCCTCCCATCCCAAATCGAGAGACCGCAATCTTCCTCATACCCAGGAAGGCCTTCAAACCACCCAAAGACAGCAAGCTAATGATAAGGATTATCAAAGTCTGTGCGCCTGCGAACAGGTCAAAGACAGACACGATAGTCTTCCAAATGTTCTTGATATTGTTCCACAGTTTGGGAAAGAAGCCTAGGTCGAGACCAGAGTCTTCGGGTTTGACTTTTGTCGCGCCTTTGATGTCACGCTCTACGCACTTGAACCCCTCCTTGAAGCACTAGGAAAAGAGAAGGTAACTGAATAATTAAATTTGATTGGCTAACGACATCACGCAATACTAGTTAAGAAAAAAACTGAGTATCGGACCAGATTGCGCCTTTGATGTCACGCTCTACGCACTTGAACCCTTCCTTGATGCAATAGAAAAAGAGAGGGTAACTGAATAATTAAATCTTATTGGCTAACAACATCACGCAATACTAGTTAATAAAGGACCAGAGTTTGTATGAGTGTTTAAGACTAGCTCATGAAGACAAGTGGTCGTATTAGAGAGGTGTCCGAATTACAGAGGTTTATTCTTAAGGCAATAAGTCCAGGCGGGACCAAATCACTGCCCAGAATACAGGGTTTCTGTATTATAAGGTGGCCGCACCCTCGGCCTCGGTACTTTTTTACAGCAATAAGACGTCCAGTGTAATAATAGTGTTGATGACATTCGTACTTACACTACAGCCACAACTCGTTGCACAAACACATGGTTCTGTCGTCTTGAATGTTACGTTGGACGAATCGATTAATTTTCGTCGTGCGTCAAAAAGCTGAGCTATGTCAACAAACAAACACACGATAAGTACTAACTATATGGTTAAAAGATACTGTATTCCGATTGGCTAAAGGTAGAGGATCCCCAGTGTGTCGCGTGCTTAATGCTGTATTAATTACGTGCGTCGGTTTTAATATAAAGTGCGCATGCATAGAGATTGTCATATTGTGGAGCGCGCGCCTCTCTTTTAGCTTTTCGATGGATACTTTTATAATGTAAAAATTTATAATATTAGATTTCTCTGCAAAATTATCCACCGAGTTTTAGAGTCACGCGGGATCTTGCTAAACAGCAACAGCCAATTTGTCGCGCAAGCCAGTGTAGCCGAGAGTAAGCTGCACAATGCCTTATATGTCGATATAAAATGCTTACTGATGCAATAATTGATTCCTCCTTTCCACTGCTGTGCTTTAACGTTGAAAGTGAATGTGTGTGTTTGCTGTGGGTTGATCGAGGCAGCTTTCTCGAGGAGATTCAGGATTCCAACTGAACAGTCTTTGACTACTACCTGAAATGAGTAACACAATTAAGGCAAATCATGTTTGAAAAATGGAAAGAGAGAAGAGAAGAGAAGAGAAGAGAAGAGAAGAGAAGAGAAGAGAAGAAATACAAAAATCTACTTACATAGAAGTCGGCTGTAACCAACCCGGTATTTTGAACAATAACATACAGATTACCATCACGTGACAAGGCTTGAAAGTCTTGCGCATAAGCTCGGAGTATTCTACCAGTTGCCCTTGAATATATATACAATTATTTTCAATTATTTATTATTATTATTTTTTTCGTTATCATTATTTATTCCTGGCCCAGATAGTTATGCTCTTACCTGTTATATATAAGTATGATGTCATCAGCACTAATCTGTAACGTCACCATGCTCGTCATCACTTCGTCCACCTCGTATGTCAGCACATAGTTGTTGGTGTTCGACATCTTGCGAACTCCTAGAAGTTTACCAAACTTTTCAGGAAAGTAATGTGGTGTTTGGCCCTTTTCTCGACGCTTCTGTTAAATAAGAAATTACAAGGAGGGGGACAATTCTTCGATTGCACGTTACGTCATCGCGGCCATGTTGGTGCTATTTAACAAAAGATTTCTTATTAGCATCCATTGTTAACGGCACCACAATGACCGCCAAGTTTTTGTCTTTTGACGCTCTTGGGGAAAGAAACTACTTTAGAGTAAATTCAGAGAGAGGTTAAATTAAAAACAAGAGGAAAGAGAGGGTACTGGTGGACGTGATACTTACTGTGTCCTCTTCGAAGTAGTCCTTTGGTTGATTATTGAGACACCTATGTACGATTAATGATAAAGGTAAAACAAAAGAATAAGAAGGAATGAAAGTATTATCTGATAGGCGAGATGGATAGATGCTTATATACAAAGGGAGCGAAGGAAATGGAAGAGGAAGAGGGAAAGATAGAAAAACCTAAGGAAGGGGGGGGGGGGGGGGGGGGAAGTGAATGGTGGGGATTACGAAAATAACTTTGAGTAAAAATTTAGGGAAGGAAAGAAAATGGAAGTGAATGAAAGTGAAAATTAAAGGAAAATAAAAAATAGTCAATTTTTGGGCTGCAAGCTACATCATAGCCGCCATCTTGGTTGACGATAACAAAGCATTCCTTAATATAGCTTCTCTTGTTGAATCAAACAACATGGTGGCTGTTTCATTGTTATTTATATCTCAAGGGATTTTGAGTCATTTGGCTGCACCCCAAGAATAAATCGATTTGATGGTTGATAAATAATCAATAACATGAAGTCCTTACGACTGTTGCTTCTGGCTACACCCCATCGGCGCCTGCGCACGGAAGGCAGAGTATGTCACACCAATTTTATCGCATTGATGTGGTCCTGACGATTTGTAATTCACCTCGTGCTTGTCAATGATCATGTAGTCATGGGCACCGTTCTGTAAAAGTCATAAAAGACCTTTGTATTAATCCCATCTACAAATGGTTTGACTTTCAAGTGGCTCGGATGACCACTTCAAAATGGCGATCCCGTCTCTCCACACGCAAATGGACTTCTTTAGCATTCGGTTTCGACGTAAGTGCAAAACTTGTAAAAAAAAGTATACGTAAAGTCGACTTACCCGAAACTGTGGATGAGTTTTGGGGTCGATCTTATCACTCGCATATGGTACCAACAAATATCTTGTCGATAGGACTGGAAACTGTTTATGGGATTGGAATTCACCGATGAATGAAGCGTATATCTAGTGCAGGAAAAATGGAAAAGATCGGTTTCTTACTTCACTTTGACCACCATCAAAGCCTAAAGACTCATAATCAGGAAGTGATTTGAAAGATTCTTTGTTTAATAAATCTAAGAGGTTGAAAACTAAATCATTGATATAAGTGGTATATTATTGCTGGATTTCAATGCTGATAAAAGTCTTTTAATCTCATTATCTGCACCAAATGGTGGTCAAACACTGACCACCATGTCCTGTCAACCTGAAAGAATTCTACTTGAAAACTTGTGATTCAGCTGATGAACATTCCACACTAGACATGAAAAGACGTCAAGTAGCGAAACCCAGCAATAAGCCGATTCCACTGACTTGTCAGTGGCTCAATGCTCAGTGCGACTCGACAGGGCTGCCATGGTTACGCAGTCGACCAAGCAACACAACTCCTCCCAATCAAGCACCTACGTCAAGCCCATCTACTTGTGCTAGAGCAGTTTTCGTTTGACTGTGAAAAAGTCGGTGCCGTATGCGTGGCTTGCCGCAACCGTGATTTTTTCTAGACTTTTGATTAAGGGATTTTTTTCTCGCACAATGTGATTGGTTTGACAGTGCCGTGACATTGGCGTGACCCTGTCCGCGCCGTGTTCTCAGCCCTGCATCGGACATTTGATTGGATGGAGAGTAAATTCTTGTGCGATGTGACTGGGCGGGCATAAGCCTTGCCGTGTCACAACCCTGCTTGTGCCGTAAGCTTTTCACAGTCATACGGAAACTGCTCTATTTTTAGTAAAGTGTTCTTACCCGTCCATATTTTCCTCTACCAGTCCTAACGCTAGGACCAATAACGATCTCCCCACCGTCAACCCACTCGGTAATGGTCTTGTTGCCTACTTTTTTGATGACTTGGTCATACGCGTACACGTGGATACTGAAATCCATCTGCCACAAGCCGATCTCGTTCACGGTGTACCTGAACGGGCAGTGGTAGGAATATCACACGGCATTAGAATTACTTATTAAAGGAAGGGAGGAAGGAAGGGAGGGAGGGAGGGAGGAAGGATGAAAGGAAGAAAGGGATGGAGGGAGGGGTTAGAGGAGGAGGAAAGAAGTGATAAGAGTTATGAATGGAATGTAAAAAAGAAGAGAAGAAGGGGAATGGAAGAAAGTGGAAAAAAGGAGTGAAGGAAGGAAGGTATAGTAGTGCAGTGGAATGTCGAACACAGGCAGGAGAAAAAAGGTAGGGATGGAGAAGTACCAATGCTTACCAGAGATCGTCATACTTCATACAGTGAGCACCCGCTTGTGTACCAAAGAGTTTACAATCGATACCACTACGAGAATAAGGGTTCTTATCATCAAATGATCCTCTCCATTTCTCCTGCTCGGTACATCGGCAGCAAAAACCCTAAGAACATGTCAAAATAAAAATAAAATCACCATTTTGAAACGCACGTAAAGCAACGGGAAGTAAAGGGCTGACCACGTACCCCGAGGGAAGGGAGGCGAACCTAAGCGCTTTTACAATATTAGTGAGTGTCTTGTTGTTGCGAAATATTGTTTGGAGAGGGGTGGTACAACCACGCCCTCCGAGTGGGAGGGGGCGCTATACCAATTTTAGTGTCTTGTTGTTATGGACTTTATATATATATATWTWTWTTTTTTTGGGAGGGGAGTAGGGGTTAAACCATCTACATTCCACTTTCTCGTATTTAAAATACGAACCTGACTATCCCAGATCGGTTTGCCTTGTTGGTCTTTTGCGAAACCACACGCTGCGTCGTCATCGTCCCAGGCATCACTGCAGGCGTGGTAGGATCCCGCAGCGTGCCATTCTTTATCTTTAGGAATGACCACCTCCTCTTTTGGTTTATTGTTTACGGTCTAAACAAATTGGTATTAGAAATATCAACTTTTGACGAACCCTGAAACAACCTCAGGGCTGATCTTAAGTCAAGGCACGGCTAACTCACAATCGAACCCTGAAACAACCTCAGGGATGATCTAAGTCAAGGCACGGCCAACTCACAATCGAACCCTGAAACAACCTCTGGGCTGATCAAAGTCAGGGCACGGCCAACTCACAAATCGAGCCCTGAAACAACCTCAGGGCTGATCTCAAGTCAAGGCTCGGCTAACTCACAAATCGAACCCTGAAACAACCTCAGGGCTGATCTTAAGTCAGGGCATGGCTAAATTACAGGTTGAACTCTGAGACAACCTCTGGGCTGATCTAAGTCAGGGCACGGCCAACTCACTGAAACAGTAGCCGGTGGCAACCGCTCAGCTGGAATAGTAATAGTCTACTGGATTGATTAATACACTGACGATTATCATTATTTCATTACTTACCCCAAGGTAATAGTATGGATATGTTAGAGTCACGGGAGTTTTGGCTAGAGTAATGACAAATGGATTGTACAGTCTAGCCATCTCATTCTCAGTTTGGTCATAAACCTTGCTGACGTTGGTTACTGTCTTGAGGAACTCTGTTCCATTCTACATAAGGAAGAAAGGAAGGAAGGAAGGAAGGAGAAAAATAGCAAATTACTAATAAGCTGACGTTGGCATATTCGAGGTTCAATAAGCACTTATCAGGTATTTTAAATCAGGAAAACACTGTTTTCAGAGAAAAATTATTACCACAGCTGGCCACAGCAAGTTAAAATTATTAAAACGGTTATATTTTTTAAGTTCAAAAACGCGCGAAGATATCATGATGATTTTTCAAGTGTGAATTTTGTAAGGAAAACTTGGCGAGTTTTGAACTTACCTCCTTCAATCCACACAGTTTTTCTAATTTTAACATGCTCTTTCCAGCTATATGGTAATAATCCTTTAATCCCTTGAGTTTTCAGGAGTTTTGAAGACCTTAGAAATCACTTGATAAAAGTTCACTCATAATAAGCTTATAAAGAATCCCTTTAGTGGGCTTAAACTTTTCTCAGAATTTTAGAATAAGCTTATATTTTTATAGAAAGAATAATAAAATAATATAAAGGTTCACCTACCTGGCCACTTCTGACAGATAAAGTCACAATGAGTTTCTTCTCACAAGCTTTCTGATCCACCACGTTAAAAGGATCTTCGCTATCGCCAGTATTTTCACAAATTTGTAAACTACTTTTTGCTATAACATCTGACAAGACACTCTTAAAACTTAAAGCAAAAACTACAAAAAGCAAAACAAATTGGACTAATTTTACATCAAAACCCATCTTGGATAATTAAAGAACAGCTTGATGTGGCAAATATTTTAGTTTTTGAAGCGTAAAAGGAAATAAATTGAAGATTTTTTTGAGCAAAACTAACTTGGTTTATACGTTTTTTGCAAATTCTCGCGTCATCGTATTTGAAGTTCGCGCGCATAAAATCCGCTGGTTATTGAAACTGCAGGCTCATATCGGCGCACGCGCGCGCAAATCTTTAGGTTTACTAATATGATCTATGTTTTACTCAAATTTATCATTGCAATGAAAAAAATATTGAAAAAATTAATCCAAATCCAAATTAACAGTTTATTTTTATTTTTCATTTATAAAGCCATTTTATTTGTACATGAAGTTAACAGAATAATAATGACTTTTAAAACATAAATTTGAAGTAATATTTCAAACACGCGAGAGAGTTCTTCCTTTGATTTCCAAACACCAAAGAGTGAGTTGAAAAAACGAGGCGCAGCCGAGTTTTTTTAACTGACTTTGAGGTGTTTGGAAATCAAAGAAAGAACTCTCTCAAGTGTTTCAAATTACTTCTCAAACTCATGAATATTTCTTGGAGAAAATCAAAGAAAAAGTTTACGAAATTTAATGCAAATTAAGAACACATTTCCAAACCACCGTCACATTAGTGGTTTGCTTTGTTTTCTCCTCATTAAATATTCATGTGTTTTAGAAAGTGAAATGAAAAATATTCGTTCTTTAATGAAACAAGACTGATACGATCTCTCTGATGGGAATGTTTGCGCCAAATCACAGCAAATTGGGGGCTGGACGTCGCGTCCATTAACATCCTAGCTCTCAACCTCTTCAACAAAGATATATGTGAGGAGGAAATTCGCGAGAAATCGGAGCGGATCTTGGTTTTCCGGTAACTTGTTCATTTGCTAGATAACGCGTTTGTAATGTCCGTCAAATCACTGCACATTGACGTCAACGAGCAACAGGACAAGTGTGATAATACRAGAGTCCTAATCCTAGGAAACTGTTACGGTGTCATTATGAGATACATTAGCACGAGGAGACCGTGGTCCATAGTCTGGAATGGACTATAACATATACCTGGTATCTCAGACCCCATAGTCAGATTAATTCACTCACCAGTAGTTATACATAATTGATAGACGCTAAGAGGCTCATTATTTCACCATTAGATTGTCTTGATTAATTCGTTTAGAGGTTGATAGTGAAGTAGGAAATAGACTTTCTAATGTAATTATAGATATATCTGGAAAAACCTCAAATGGACGCACGTTGTTAGGAAAAGATTTCAAGTTGATGGAATATAGAATGTTCTCGGCAAGTTATTTCGAGTTGATAAAATGGTTCTTGGCTTTTGATTTTAGGGCTTGAGGGGAAGTTAGAAGGAGATTTTTTTTCTAGACCACCACTCGAGGTAAAACATAAGCAATCGAGAGTGTTGAAGATCACATAGCACCCTAGGCACGTCGATCGATATATATGAGTAAAAAAACCCTTGAAATCGCTGACGGATGTGTTATGGCTTTTAACTTTTTCGTGGGTAAGCGTTTCATATTACATTAAAAAATTAAGAGGATAAATGGATGGATGGGATGAATGAATGAATGGATAAATAAAAAGAAGAGTTATAAAAGAAAGTGGAAAAGAATGAACGAAATAAGAAAATGAAAGAAATAAAAAATGGATGGATGGATGGAGACATGCATAGATGTATCAACAATTGGATAAATGGATGGGATGGATGGATAAATAAATGAATAAAAAAATTAATGAATAGATGAATAATAAGACGAATAAAAAAGAAAGTGGGAAAACGAATAAATAAATGAATGAATACAGAAAACTAAAACTGACTAAACAAAGACAATAACAAAACATATGATTAGTTGAACAAGTGCAAAATTATATTTGCTGATGATTTTACTGTGTCTAAATAAACTCATGTATGTACTAACAAAGACGAAAACTACACAGAGAATTTTCTAGATTTTCTGGAAAATAAAAATAAAAAACAATGCATAACATATGGTTAGATGACTAAAAGCCAAAAGAATTGCCAGCACCTTTAACTATCACGGACGAAAACTACGTAGAGAAATTTCCAGATTTTCTTGGGGGAAAATTTACAAATTTTATTTATAAAATAGGGTTAGTTCCATACGCGCCAAAACAAAGGAGAGTCAACACCTTTTACTATCCAAGACGAAAACTACGTAGAGAATTTTCAAGATTTTCTGAAAACGTTTTTTTAACCATTACATCCATATGTTTAATTGAATAAGCGCCAAAACAATGGAGTGTTAGCACTGTTAGCACCATTAACTATATCCAAGACGAAAACGACAATGAGAATTTTGCCAGATTTTCTGGGGAAAAAAAGTTCAAAACACACAATAAGTGTCGCTTATGATCAAAGGAAAGAAAGAAAATAAGAGTAGCAGCTACCATTTGTTTATAATGAATTAGACGTTCTTCTAAATACAATAAAAGGGGGAAAAGTAAAAGAAAAAAGAAAAACACTCTTACATTCTCGAGAGCTATTCTAAATTTACTTTTATTTTTGAGTACAATTTTTTATATCCATTGCACTTTACTTCTTCCAGTTTATAACAACCCTATCTTTACTTACAAAGGTTCTTTTAGTTCAGCAAGATGATATCGCTTTTCTTATTTTGACAAGCATCTTTTTTACATATACTGTATTTACAGCCATATTGTCGAGCAAATACATATGGACATGGATCAATATTTATACGATCGCTATGAATTTCATTTAAGAAACTAAACAAGACGAATCGTACATGTACTGTATATATATTCTCATATTCTTTTTTCGCTTTATTTAAACATTTCTTGGCATTCATCAATTCGCTAGTTCGACCCATCAGCAACAAAAGACACCGAAGGAGTAGGCACTAGACAAAACAAAACAAAACAAAACAAAAACAAAAAACAAAAAAAAACAAAAACAAAAACAAAAACAAAA